AAGCTAATTATTTATCTGTAAGTTATTGCTAACAAAGTATTTAAATTCTTGGTTTGCTTGCTAATTGTTTTTTCACTTGTGATGTAGCACAAAAGTAGCAATGGTGTAACGAAAAATACACATTATAGACATTAACACAAGACATAAAACAGACGTTATAATTTGTTAGTTGTTTTTGTTAGTGGGAGTATTGTACGTGTGCATGGATGAAAGTGTGTTCTGTGGTCTTCCTTAATGCAACTGTGATCAGAGGAATGTGCAAACGTGTGAGGAGGAGAAGGATGAGAGCAAAAGTATAATAAATGATGTTGACAAGTCATGGTTCTCTACTTCTCACCTTTTATTTCCACATTTCTTGCAGATGGTTAAAGTGTCGGCCACCCTGGAGAAATAGGTCAGTGGAACAACAAATCAAAGAAACTCTAACTGGCGGAAATGAATGTCTGTCAGTTAGCGGGTCGACAACAGTGTTTGCCAGCTGAGGGCCAGCCTAAGGCCCGGGCGCAGGCAGTGACCCAACCCTGTTAAATGAGAACGACGACAAGAGTACACAGAGAGCAGCGATGGCCTGCTTTGTCCTCTCTCCCTGTGCTCCCTGAATAGCTCTCACACAAAGGATATCGTTATTCCTCCTCTAATTACCAGATGGAGAGCTGTTTTTCTGCCTCTCACTCCTCTGCTCTCACCCCAGAAATAAAGTGCTCTGTGGTGGCGACCCCTCAGCAGTTATGAAACAGTCTGGTGGACAACGGGGCCCGAGCGAGCCCTCATTTACTCCTTCAACTGTACAATATGAATCTTATTTGAGCCTCCACCGAGACCATTTTATCTGCACTCAATCTGTCGGTTTATGCGATGGCCAATCTGTCCGGTCTCTTCCTGTCCCTGCATGGTTTCGTTGCCAAAACCAATCATGTCTAAGGCATGTCACCAATTTCACAGCCTTGGTTTTAGGCGGACGTATCTAGGCCACAAGACACTCTCCATCTGCTCTTCTGTGGCCAAAAGCCTTGGGAGGTCACTCAGGGGAGGGAGTGACGGTGAGAGATGCACCCAGCCAGGGATTAGGCTGGTACACCAGGTCCAAGGGGAGGTGAGATTAAAAGCCAGGAGCAATAATACACATGTGGTGGAAAAACACACTGGCTGGCTACTCTCATGTTTCCGCACCACGCACTTTAGAGCTGTCATCGAACAAACGTCTCCCACCACATGAGAACAAATTAACACGCTTTTAGGGATTACAGTGTTGCTGTCAAGGTCACCAGTTCCTAGTGTCGCCCCCGTTGACACAGACGGCAACAAAAAGTGCATCCAGGTGAAAACTCTGCCTTTATGACAACAGGAAGGGTTTTGCATCACGCAGCAGCTTCCACTGCGAGTTCACGGTGTTTTGTTCCGCAGAGATTTGTGTTCCCCGTCCTCAGCATATCATGCAGTATTAAATCTCAGTCATACCCTCCTCTAACCCTGTCATCTGGAAAAAGCCCTGACCTCAGTGTGGATACGGAGCGGGCTGGTGGAGGACAGGTGTGACTCAGCACCACCTTTGAATGATCCTCTCAACATCAAGGGCAACAGTCCCCTCATAGGGTCCTTTAAATCAATTTAATTTTTGTGTTTCCGTCCCCAGCACACTCTCTGATGGAGGGAAGGCTGTCAACAAGGAGGATTTGGTAAACATCTCATTGGAGATTAACAAGGAGGGAGTCTTTTCTGTGTGTGCGTGCGTGCATGCGAGTGCAAGAGGAGGGAGGGAGGAAGGGAGGACTTCCCAGCATGGGGCAGAGGGAGGGGGTGAGTCGCCTGGTGGAGGGGACTGAAATGTCCTTCATATAAACCGGTGACAAAGTGCCGAGTAGCGGCCCCCGGGAAGCAGAGATCACAGCCAGCGCACAGAGACACACACACACACACACAGAGGAAGAAGAGGAGGAAGAGGAGGAAGAGGAGGAGGAGGAGGAAAACCGGAGCACCAAGCACCGCGAACAAGCGCTGGATCCACAGCCACACACCGGAGAGGAGACACGGAGGAAACACTCTGCAACAGCAAACAGAGGAAACTAATCCGGACGGAGCATCCTTCACCCCACCGACAGGTACACTGAATATATTTGGGATGAAGCAACACTTCACTCGACAGGTCGCCGCAGAGTAGGAGCATTAATAGCCTATTATTATTATTAATATTATGTAAGGATATTACAGTAAAATATGCTCCTCTGCAGCAGATGAAATAAAAGGTCAGCGTAAACTCTCAACTGAAATTCACCAGACTCCATAGAAATAAATGCATTTTTGATTTTTACTAATTTTTTCCAAGGTTTGTTTGTGTGATTTAAGTTGCAGCTTTTGTCAAAATGTTCTTAATATGTTGTAACTTTAATGTTTTGTACAGAGCTGGTGATTTATTTTGAATTCAAAATGTTAAAACAGCTGATTCACATTTTTTAAATAAGTGTGTCTATTGGATTTTATAATATACTTTTTATTTTTTGATTTTTTAATTATAATATATGTGGTATTTTATATTATACTACAAATTTGACATCAAAAACAGCAACAGAAAACAAGTTAGATATGAAGTAGGACATTAAAGTCAGAAAGGTATACCTATAAAAATGCACGTAATTATGTTGTATTCAAGAGGTTAAGACAAGCAGACTTCTGCAGCCTCTAGAAACGTCAAACGGCACCATATCTGATCAAAAGTAGAATATTTACCCTTAATCATAAAAGTAAGTTGGTCTAAACTTGGTCTGATGGCAGATTTCTGCTGATTCACATTTAATACATCATTTTATTGGTAGAAAAACTGCATAAATTACTGAGCGTGACGCCTCCGAACATGTCAGTTTTAATTGTTTAGCAGTTACTAACAGATCAGGGTTGCAGACACCAGTGAAATGCTGGTAAAACAAGCAAGTTGCTGCTTATGTGAGTCACTCATCAGCCAAAAAGAAAGTCTTTTGAGAGGCTGGTTGGTTTTGAAATCCACCTGCCACAGTGGCAAGTGGACATAAAAGTAAATTTCCAACCCTGTTATAGCTAAGGATGTTTTTATTCTGTGTTGTAATGTGTTTTTGTTGCATAACAGAACAGTTTTAACAGTAACACACTTTTAATTCCTTTCCCAAATGAAATCTGGAAGGTGAGAGGAAACTCATGCGTCAAAGATTTCCATATTTTCTGCTTTTATTGTTGTTTATCTTTGTTGCATAAAATCAGAGCCACACCGGACCTATCCAGTGCCATGCGGCCATGTCCAACAGATTTGTTTAATTCGTGTTATGTGGGCTACACATCCTCCAGCCGTTTGTCAGATTAAACAACTACGCATGTCATCCATCTCAGCATGGTGCCTCAGTCTCACCTAATTAGGCTCACCCTGTCTACTAGGTCACCACATGCAGAGCACACATGGAGCTAAACAGCCTGTGCTGGATGTCTCACTCACACTATTACTCACTGTACGCCATGATGACTGATAATAAAATAACTGTGGTGAATGATTTTAAAGTGTGCATGCATCAGTGAGAATTATTAACATGCATTTTATTGTATGACATCAGACTGTGTGTGCATTGTCTCTGATTTGGTGAGTCAGGTGTCTTTTGTCTGCTGCTGTCCACTGACCTGTTTGTGTCTGCAGAGATGGGTGTCACCTCTCGCCCCCTGCTATTGGTGTGCGCATATTTGGCAACTGCGCTGATTGGTGGAACCCACTCGGAGGGGGTGTGTCTCCAAGACGGCAAGCACAAGACCACGCCCGGCCCGGAGCCACACCTGAGGGAGTGTGGGCTGTATGCCGACAGTGAGTGACTGTGTTTGTCTTGAAACGCTGCATGTTTAATGGTGTAAAGACAACCTGCGAAGGGAAATATCAGAGTAAATCTCCTGCCTGACAGCTGGCTCAAGTGTTGTTTTTTCTGTCCTTGCTGCTGACAGATAGCTGCTGCACAGAAGAAGACATCCAGGATATCTCCCATGTTCCCTCTGCCATCAATAAGAATGAACCCTGGGACAAGTGTGGGCCTCTGAGCTCAGAGTAAGTCTCAGATATCCCTCTGATCCCACCTCTTAGCATTTCCACCTGAAACCAATATTTTTATATTAACTATAGATCACATGACGGCTTGTTTGTGAAAGGTGTCGCTGGTAGTGTTGAGCCCACAGAGGATTATCGCTCTGCAATATCCCTCAGCTCTACGGAGCATTATGTTGTCTCTAAGCTCAGTGTTTTTGTTTTATAGACAGTAACTTTACTTTTGCAGTCTTGTTTGTAGGAAAAAAACTTCTAAAAATAGCCTGTACTCTTCCTAAGCTGAATCATGTTGTCTTAGACTTTTATCTTCTATATTTGCACTCCTGGATTAGTGCAGTAAAGAGATAAAAGATGAATTAGCAACTAGTGCAAGCTAGTGAACACTGTGGGGCATTTAGCTGTGAAAGGAGTTGGTGGTGACCAAAAACAGAGCTAAAAGAGGAGAAAATATTTGTTAGGTGGCCAAAAAATGATGCCAAATTAACACTAATAATGATTTCTATCTGATTTATGTGTAAACAGTAGGGCTGTCAAGCGATTAAAAAAAATAATTTACCGTAAAACTTTAATTAACGGCCTGGGCTAGTATTTACTTAAATCACTGAAATCAACAGGCCTATATTTGAGACAGGCCTTTCAATTCCTCTCACACAATACTGTTGCTCAGTATATTTCAGACTTGACGTTCTCTGATACTAGGAAAATTTCTTATTGCAGTTCCATCTGGAATTTTTTTAAATGTAAATGTTTCATTCTCAGCCACTGTGGCCTTCAATGACTCAAAAAGTCAAAGGGCACCATGGGACTTGATTAATCAGCATACAGTTTTTTTTAACATGTTATTTATTCTGTGATTAATTAATCAAAATGAACATGTTATTTTGACAGCCCTAGTAAATAGGCAACTGTTTCCAAACAAGTTCACCTCTAACTTAAAGGTCCAGTGTGTGGGATTTAGTGGCATCTAGTGATGAGTTTGCAAATTACAACCAACTAAAACTTCTCCTGTGTGCCAAACATGTAGGAGCAGTGTTGGGACGGTTACTTTTGAAATGTAATAGGATACAAATTACTAGTTACCCTGTTAAAAATGTAATAAGTAATGAAACTCTTTTAATTATGCCATCAAAGTCATTTAAGTTATTACATTTTTAACATTTTGATTACTTTTTTGATTACTTGGCAATAGAGCTGAAAATGTTCGGAAATAAGCTACGCATGCCTGCACGGCAACAAGGTGCAAAGTAATCTTGTGCATCTACTCGTCCATTAGTAGATGCATTCTTCCTTCGTACAGCAGTTGCCAAAATTAGTACATCTACTCGTGGACGAGACGTTTGTGCTCTTGAAAGCGCGAGATGTAAACGTTAATGGCGTCCTCCTCGGCTAAGCTGTAACGTTAGCTAGCTCAGTGGTGCTAGGTGAGCTAGCAGTAGATGCACGCTTCCTTCTGCATGGTGATATTGGTGATATTGCTCTGTAGAAAGTAAATAGTTCCTACGTGAAACTGCTCACAACAAGGTCTATGGATTATCTTGAGTAACCAGGTCATGATTTCTGCAAAGAGACATTGCTGTTGAGTTTTTCAGATGTATTTTTTTGGCGCTTTGAACATCACAAGCTGAGTGCCATCTAGTTCCATTATATTGGAGAGAAGGCAGACATCTCTACGGCTGATAACTCCAACACTCTCCAACTCACACCAGAACAATCTAGACTAATAATAAGCACTACATGTAAAAGGAAAAATATAAATTTGATTTTGGGGTGAACTGTGTCTTTAAGTAGACTTCATTATGTTAACTGGTCCCTTCTTTCCCTCTCCTCAGGTGTGAAGGCTTCCTGAAGCGTGTGTCATGTTTTTACCGCTGCTCCCCCGATGCCGCGCGCTGGCCTCACCCCCACCGCCGCTCATACATCCAGGCCGTGCCACTCTGCCACAGCTTCTGCCGTGATTGGTGAGGCTGCCACACACATTGCCAAACAAATCTAAATCAAACTCAGTATCTGTCCCCCTTCACCTATAAGACTGTCAGGAGAGGGATCACCAGCCTGTGCAACAACAGCATGCTGTGCCATCCATGCCAAGATAGAGTGTCAAATAAACAGCAAAAACTGTATGACACAAGAACAAGGTTACATATATCAGTCTCCTCTTATCAAGGAGGCAGAAACATGTAACAGCCAGGGGACTTACAGCAAAATGAGAAGCAGCTTCATGTCCACGTTGCTTTATTTAAAACACTAGCGGTGCTTGTTGTCAGGAAAATATGAATATTACATACCTTTCTTTAATAAAGTTTGAGGTGCATATATTTGTATTTACAGTGTAGTGTAATATTATGGAGATACACTTAGTCCCTTTCTTGCAGAGAGTTTTATGAGATGGTTGATACCACTCATGTCTGTACAGTAAGTGGGTGTAAAGTAAGTGTAAAAAAACACTTATAATTTTACAGACTTATGTTGACAACAAACTCCAGGAAGTTACTGTGCACTGTGTAAGAAATAGTTTGACACCCTGTAAGACAGTGAATTGTTGTTTTTACAACACGGGTTTCATAGATATTAAACAAATGAGAGATATTATGCTAATTAGCAGGGCTGCCTCTGACTAAAATCTTCTAGCGGACCAATAGTTGGGTCCATTAGTCGACTAGTCTCCTGCATGTTAACGATATGTAATGATTAAATGATATATTTTGGTGGTTTGAGTTGAAGGTGTGAGAAAGAATAGTATCAGTAACATTGTTAACACTGTGCTACATTACAGAGAAATACAAAACCGTACTAATGAACCTTCATTAATATAGGCCTATATTTTATCTAGTTTTATCTGTTACATGCATTGTCTTCTTTCAAGATACACTTCTGTTTTCACAGGAAATTAATGTTTACATACAGTCTCTTTCAAAATAAAAGCACTACGTCAGTACAACACTGCGAATTGATGTTTCTTTCCTTAACGTGGTTGGGTTTAGGAAAAAAAGAACAGAGTTTGACTTAATCTTTCGGGAAGCGAACATTGGCCTCTCAGGTGAAGGTCAGTGGTTGTTAGACCCATCCATCACCACTCCTACCCACCTGGCTCGGACTTTCCGCCCCCTTAACTTATGTCTTTGTCCTGCCACGGTTCCTCCTGACGCCACCGGGAACCATTACACAATAACGGAAAGGATGGCTTTTTTCGTCTGTGTCTAATGCTGGAAGTCAGTGACCAAGCGCTGGTTTTCGACGACTTCGGAGTGAAACCGGGTTGCTTATGCAAGTTAAGTTACTGTTGTTAGGTTTGAAAAGAAATGACTTACCTTAAAATCACTCAAAGTTCACACAGTTCCGAACACCATTCTCCTGGGAAAAGTCCCATATTTTGTGACCCATCCACCGCCCCAACCTTCCTCCTTACAAGACCGCTTCCCTCTTTATTCTTTACTGCTGTCAGCATTGTGGTCACATGATCACAGCCTTCCAAAGTACATGGCTCATACACCAATTACTGGCTCATGATTAGGTAGGATGCATTCAAATTTTGGCGCATCACTTTTCACAGAACAGCCAAATACAAAACACCCATGATTGGTGACTAACAAGCTGCTGGACACACAACAATGACGCTAAAAATCACAACCAGTTTTGTTGTTGGTCACAAACAGTGGTATACAGCTTGACAGGTGTCTCGCCCAGGTGTCACACCATCTGCCATCCCCTCCACCTCACGATGCCAAAGTCAACTCACGTGCAACATCACATAAAAAAATGATATGATATGAATGAAATGTGCAAATGTAACATAATATCAAAAATATTCTTCTGGCAACTGCATATGTAGTGTACAGACATGAGAGCAATGTAGATGCTGTCATCTAACTCTCAGCACGTAAGCAAATGGTGAACTGTTCCTTTAAATAGATGTGTCCATCGAATGAAAAACTGGCGGTTATCTGGTATACAGTACGACTCTTATAGGATACAATATTCAAATAAGAGAATTACAGAGTTTACATTCCTGTCTTCAGGTTTGACGCCTGCAGGATGGACATGACGTGTGCTCGTAACTGGGCCAGAGACCCCAGAGGACAGAACTGCACTGGAACCTGTGTTCAGTATCAGCAGGTAGGCTGTGATCTGCCACATCTGTGACTGGATGCTTACATAACCTGCACAGACCTTGAGTTGCTTTCTTTTCCCCATCAGTAGCAATCAGACATTTGGAGTATTTTTAGCCACTCCAGCAGCAAATGGTTTCATGGATGGTAATTTTTGGTCTTTGGTCCAGACTGAAATGTCTCAATAACGCTTGGATGAATCGCCATGAAATTTGGTTCAGATGTTCATTTCCACCTGAGGGTGAATCTGAATCACTCCGATCCCTCATGTTTTCATCTAGTTCTATCATTCATTTGTCCAGTACTTTGGGTTCATGACTAAATACCTGCATAAGAGGTCAACACTGCAGCAACACTTGAGGTGTGGAGCAGGTGGACCCAAATACAGAGACTGCAGCAACAGGCACTCAAATAAGAGGCCGTTTACACGTACACGGTGATTTTGATAAACGGAGACATCTTCCTTCGTTTGTGCCCTTCGTTTACACGCAAACGGAGATTTCTCCTCTGAAAACGAGTCTTTCTAAAAACTCCGGCCAGAGTGGAGATTTTGGAAAACTCCGGTTGCGCGTTTGCATGTAAACTGAGATAAACGGAGATAAACGGAGCAGGAATCTGATAAGTGGATGAGGTGCAGGTGGAGATGAGGGCGGAGGGGCTCAGGTGAGGGTAATGAGGTGATTAGGCAGCAGCTGACTGGCAGGGGAAAATCTCTGTAGCTGGGAAGAAGTAATGAGGTTGATGCAGGGCAGGTGTGTAGAGGGACAAATGAGGGAAAGGCAGCACAGGAACAACAGGAGAGGAAAACACAGTGAACAAAAACCGGAAAACACAATCCTCTTAACAATAAATAAAGACTTAATAAATAAGTAAACTTTCTTTATAGAGTGCTTAAAACAATGCAGGATTCAAGTAAAAAAATGAGGCGAGTTCAAGAAATACAAAGAACAATAAAAACACTATCACTGAAGCAGATAAGCAAAGCTGGCAACTAATTGCCCTGTAGATTGCTCTGTAGTACAGTAGATCAAACAATTAGAGGCATACAAAATAAAAGAAAACAATAACCGATGACAACACAAGATAAGTTTTAAGAAGTGATTTAAGAGATGTCACTGATCCAGCAGCTTCAGATCCTCAGGCAGGAAGCTCCAGAGCTGAGGGACCTTGACTGAAATAGCCCGGTCACCTTTCGTTTTGAGTCGGGACTGAGGAGCAGCCAACAGAGCCCTGCCTGAGGATCTGAGGCCGCGACCTGGCTCATAGTTGAGCAGCATCTCAGCACTGTACCTGGGGCTGAGCCATGAAGTGCTTTAAAAGTGATCAGTAAAATCTTAAATTCTGAAACTGCCTGGTAACCAGTGAAGAAAGACTAAAACAGGGCTGATGTGTCATGTTTTCTAGTGTTTGTTAAAAGAGAGAAAGGACTTGATTTTGGAGATGCTTCTTAATTGATAGAAAGAGGACTTGTAATTTGTTTTATTTAAAGGAGAGGTCACTGTCAAATATCACACCAAGGGTTTTTCCTGCAGATAGGAAGTCAAGATGGTTTTGTAAAATAGCGACGGATTTTAGTGGACCAAAGAAGATGATTTCTGACTTAGGACGCATTCACACAGGCACACTTTGGTCCACTTCAAACGAACCCTGGTCCGCTTCCACGGATAGTTCGGTTCATTTGGAGTGGTGTGAACGCTCATTCGAACTCTGGTGCGGACCAAACGAGCGAACCCTGGTCCACTTGAAAACTGGGGGTCTCAGTTCACTTGCAAGTGAACCCCACTGTGGTTACAGTGGGAAATACAAACAGTCTATCCAGCAGTGAACCAGTGAGAGGAAGTGATGTAGAGCGCATTACATTTTGGTGTTTGGTGTTTTTGTGGTGACCAAGCCAGCTGAAGGGGATGGATTTCCGTTTTTGGTCATGGCCAATCGATGAGCCGGGTTTTCTTCTTCCTCATGCTTTTTTTCTTCCCAGTCATTGGTTGTTTCAGGCAACACCGCCCCCAAACAAGCAGCTTTTGTAACTGTGTGACGTTATCCAGGTGATTTGGTCAGCTTTAAAAAGTGCTCTGTGAAAGTGAACCTAACCAAATGAAGGTGTGAGTTTTTCGGCATTCCCCGGCCAATCAAGCCGAGTCCCCCGGACTCTGGTGTGAATGCACCCTTATTGTCATTTAACTGGAGGAGGTTTTGGGACGTTCAGCACTTTATGTCAGACAGACAGGATAGAAATAAGTATGTAACGTATCGTAAATGCATCGCCTGAGTGACTGTAACAAGATCGTTTAGTATTATTAAGAACATTGAGTGATCAGAGTTTAGTCACGCCTGAGCTGAGACTTTCTCAAGAGGTGTCAGAGGTTTGAATCCCAGTCACAAACCTTCAGAGCTTGTTATTTGAGCTGCTTGCTCTGCAGGTAGAAGGTCAGAAACCCTTTCACAGTACAGTCTGCGTGTCATGGTCAAGTGAGAGCACGGTAAGAGAAGGGTTAACAGCGCAGGGCGGCGCCGTGGGCTGAAGCATGAAAAGGTTCAGTCCTGCTTCAGTGGGCAGAGGCCAGCTGGGTGATTTTAAAAGGCAGAGTCACCGAGGGGCTGCAGCTGGGACGCACAGTCACACACCACACTGACACTCCATCTATCTATCTATCTATCTATCTATCTATCTATTTATCTATCTAGACACACACACAAACAGAGGGAGAAAGAGACCAACAGATAAACACACACCCTCTGACCTCTGGCTCTTTGGTGGATATTAGATGATTAGGTGAAATGACAGATTTGTTGTAGGAGAGAAAACTCAAAGAGAGGTCGTCTGAGTGTTTGAGTGTGTGTGTGTGTGTGTGTGTGTATGTGGAGCGCCGCTAATGGCACCAAATAGACTCCAATAAATTTAGGTAGCTCTCAAAACAGAGTGTTTTAAACAGCTCCTGAATACAAAGAAATGAGTCAGTGCATTCAGCACGCTCAACAGATCAGCCCTCAGAGAGAGAAAGAGACCGCCAACAAGTGCCTGCCTCTCGCAACACTTTTGGAGGTCACCGCAGCAAAGCGTCATTGTGTTTCCTCTTCAGTCGGCGGAGATGCGAGATTTCACAGTGGGGCCTCCTCGTGGTCTGAGCTCGCAGCACTTCAGTTCACCTCAGCGCTGAGACGTGCTGCAAACAGATACTAACTATCTCTGTCACACAAACATCTCACAATTCTGAGTTTAGAGATTTTTAAACTCAAATGATCTAATCCACAGATTAACTAAGAGTTGAGAAAATCCTCCTTAACGTTCCTCCTCTTCTGAAAAGTTCACCTGATAGATAGGAACTAAACGCAGGAGTGTGTGTGTGTGTGTGTGTGGAATAAATCTGCACAGATACAGTGAGGATTTGCAGAGGATGTCAATTTGCATAGAAACAAGCTAATGCATTTAAAGGCACACATAAGCACACACACATCCACTGCATGCAAAGCTCCCTCTGGCACTCTGTGTCTCACTCTGTCTTTGTACTCATTGGTAACATTATTTGCCAGCCAAGGTCTGATTTATCTCAGCATTAGACACTCTTTCTGCTCCGGGTTTGGTGGGAATGAGGTTACATCAGTGAAGAGCGGCCGGGCGCCTGGCACAAATAACATCCACAGCGACATCTATGAGATGGAGTGAATTAATGGTCCAAGGAAGGAGAGAATGATTATACGAGGTTACTGAAGTTACAGCCTGCAGATTACAGCTTAAATACTGAGAACATACTAAAGTACCAAAGAAATAATTAGTGGGTATGTACAGGGGGCCAACAGCCATAGCCCACATGTCTATAGACTGTATAAAATAATGGACATAGCCACCGTGATGTCACCGACTGGTTTACTGTCTCCCATTTTGAAGCCTTGACTTTGAAGTAACCATGGATGTATTAGGATGATACAGCACTGGCGGAAGGGTCCCGTTAATTTCTATGAGTCGCTTGGAGGCACATGACGCCAAAATGGTTCATTTAAAATGACCCAGATGATCAGCACTGCTTCCACTGAGCAGGCGCACTAGAGACTTACAGCAGCCAAGCACAACCAAGTGCAGCCGAGCCAAGCTGAGACTTATGCTGGGTTCAGGCTACACAATTTCAGCCTGATTATAGCCCGACAAGGCCGTCATATGGTGTCAGCTCAGTTCGTGAACGGCAATGATTATCATGTGCTATAATCCATCATTTTATCACGTGTAGTGTGTCATGTCAGACAACAACCATAGTTGCAGCTATGTGACCCGCCCTCTAGATAAATGACTCGCGCACCATAGCTACACATCAGTCCGTCAGCCCGGGAGCAGAAGTCTTGACGAAAATGCTTAAGTAGCAATTAGCTAGCTATAAAGTATTTCAATAAGAGAGAGACGGCTAAGTTTAGGACAAGGGTAATGGGAAGGCTACATCTCGTTACTTATGCTAATGTTAAGTTAGTGATTAGCTAACATTAGCTATAAAGTATTACGTTAAAAGAGAGGTGGTTAGGGTAGGGGTAATGGGAAGGGTTACATCTCATTACTGGTGCTAATGCTAAGTTAGCGATTAGATAGCTGGAGACCGGTAGCTGGAGAGGTGCCAGTTCACCTCCTGGGCACTGCCAAGGTGCCCCTGAGCAAGGCACCGAACCCCCCAACCGCTCGGAGCAGCCCACTCTGACATCTCTCCACTTAGGGCATGTATAGGTCCAGTTTGTGCATGTGTGTGTTCGGACCTTTGTGTAATTGACAAACAGAGTGAAAAATTTAATTTCTCCTCGGGGATTAACAAAGTATGTAAAAATCAAAAAATTAAAAAAAAATTAAAGAGAGGTGGTTAAGGGTAGGGTAGGCGTAATGGGAAGGGTTACATCTCGTTACTTATGCTAAGTTAGTGATTAGCTAATGTTAGCTATGAGGTATTACGTTAAAAAAGAGGTTGTTAAGGTTAGAGTAAGGGATACATCTCATTACTTATGCTAATACTAAGTTAGTGATTAGCTAACATT